AATAATCCATTCGCACAATTCCGATTTAAACTTGCTTTTAAAACTCTTCTTGTAAAGAAGGAAAAGTGATAGATCTCGAATAAAATGATCGAATAAAATAAAAATCGACGAGAATCGTTAGCTAATTGTGAAATATGATTCATCTACTTCAATTATGATCTATCTTTTTTTTTTTACAGTTGCGAAATCTTCGAATCTGCTTGCAATTGAAGTAATTAAATGATCGTTAAATCCGATCCTTCAACCAGCAGAATTCGGTGTTTCCTTTTTAGAACAGGAAACGATTTCAGCCGTCTAGGCCACAAACTCGAAGACGATTTATAATCGTAGGTCATGCTGATGCTACACATGAACCCTAGAGAAGCCGGCATAACTTTCACTCACGACACTGTCGCAGGCCTCATGCCCCGGGCACATTGCTACGAACACATCGACACAACGATCTCGTCGATATACAGACGCCCTCACACAATCGCGCCGGAATGTTGCATAAACGCACGCGCGTGAAGCCGCGGTTCTTACGTGCGTGATACGCGAACCCGCGCTCGTGAAACGTGGAAGTGCCGGCCGATTATACAAGCGATTCCCACATCTATCTCTCCGAAAAGTTCAGGTCAAATGAGATCGAAATGACTAACTAATTCTCACTGAAAACTAAATCGAAAAGAAGAAAGAAAAAGGAGAGAAGGTGGGAATTAACATGCATAAAAAAATGTGAGAACATAAAATTATAAGAAAGTAAAAAGATTGAAATTAAAAATTACAATGCCGAGAAGTTTGGAATAAATACAATATATTTTTGTATTTGTGTAGTATGTATTTGCAAGCTTTTTAATTAGATAAATCGGGAAAGAAAAGAGGAAGAAGAGATTCTCTCGTAATTGCAAGGAAATGCAGCTGCGAGTACTCATTAACGGGAAAATGGCGCAAGCGTGCCCTTTTTAATTATTCACGTCTCACGTAAAATCCCATGCGCGCATTTGCGTGCACATACACAGATGCACATTTGCGCGTGATGCATCTCCGGTAAAATCGTACCGCTCTTCTACGGCACGTCCATTCACGAACGAGTCTTGCGAAAATCCGTCTTGCACAATTGCTCCCGATCGGACTGTTTCATCTGTTAAGAGAATTGCTCGTCTTCGATTTCCCTTCGCAGAGACTAACGCAGCGTCGTTTCGCTTAGGCATCGAAGATCGATTTTATTTGCTTCTAATCGATTAAGCTTAAAGACCACAATAATCACGTGGATAACATTAAATTGTATAACACTTATTACTGTGATTATAGATCTTGTAACATAAATCGAAAGGAGATTTCTCGAGTCTGCGTAAAGTTACTTCAAACTTGAAACATATTGAATATATTTTCTAAACAATTGCCCGAGAAGCACAATTCATTGGCGAAACATTGGTTAAACGTTGGGGATATGTTGAGTCAATGTTGCGCCGATGAATTGTGCTATTAGGGTGAAGAATTATTTTTATAAAATAATTTTATATATATGTGTAAAATAATTTAGTAATAACATTTTTTTTCTTCTGCAAGCTGAACAAAACGCCTATTCCCAAAAGCCGCGCAAAAGAACAGATTTTTCCGCTTTCGTAAAAGCCATTATAACGTCATTCGTGGGAATCAGTCCAGTCTGTGAACGTTACTAAACCTTATGGTTGATTTCTTCACTTCGCGATAATTTCGTTCGCTTAGACTGGGAGAAGGTGACTTAGCTCGTTCCATTATTTGATACGAGCCGATTTCCCTATTGTAACATTACATCATTTTGTTTGCAAGAAAAAATTAAAGATTTTTACAACGTATTCAACTCATCTCAATAAATTTTACTCACTGTTCAGTTTAAAAATCGTAAAATATATACAAGTATTATATATCGCACAATATTAAATGCTTCTTTATCGTTGAAAAATCGACCAAGTAGATAAACGTTAAGACTCTTAATCACTCACTACGTATTTTCAAATTGACGTCTCAGAAGCGAGAAAACACATAATAAAAATTTTTATCAAGTATAATAAAAATTTAATTATTTAAAAAGTACTATATAATAATTAAAATAGAAATATTTTCTAATAAAACAATATTTACATTTGATAGAATACACTTGTAAAATATATTGAAAACTCCCATTTTAATTTGTTACTTTGGAATCTAATAAAATCATAATTATCTCAATTCGACAGCTGTCATATAACTTGTTCCATTTTCTAATTAATCATAATTAAATTTCAAATATATGGTTATTTATTGATTACCAGAACACAATGAAAGTCTTCGATATATCTTATTATAAATCTATTCAATCCGATTGCAAATTATTTTATTAAAAAATACATCGATATTTCAATATAGTTTGTAAGAATTTTTTAAATGTACTTTTCTAGTTTCTGACGTCATAATCCAAAATGGCTGTAATGAATAGGCAGGAGATTTAAATATCTTTTTATATACTTTTTTCATACTTTTAGTAATCGCCATTGTAATTTTGCTCATAAAGAATCCTTTCAGGATGTCATAGCTAGATTTATGTTACGAATGTGTCGTTGCTGTATTTTTGAATCTAGTACAAGAATATCTTGATCAGTAAATTAATCCTGTCTTGTTTTTTAAAAAGTCATATTTTTTTAATACATGATATATCTATAATTTAATCGTAATAATAGACATAGATATATACATTTTATATTGTTTGATATGAACATCTCGGAATGACATAAAAGTTTACATTTGAATTTTAATATAAACTTTCGCAAAACATTTGGACCAATTGTAGTAATTGTTAAATAATGCAATGAATTAATTAATTCAAGTTACTTTTTTGTTAACATTAATTGATCTAATGAGTAAATAAATTCGTCGTTCAATGCTCGATTAATTAAATTATAATATACAAAATAAGGAGCTGAGAGCAAAAACAAGATGTTAGCTACCTTTTAATAATAAGTCAGTTCTTTTATTTTTTGTATAAATTGTTTAATAGATAGAACGTTTATACGTAACATTGTAAATGATTTAATCTAAGGTTGAAACGTATGTGTATTTTTTATTTAAATATAATTTTATTATTATTATTAAAAGATAGCTAACAACGTTTTGCTTTTGCTCTGAGCCCCTTATTTTGTATATTATGATCTAGTAAAATTTTTTTATAGTTCTCAGCATTAAAATTTGCTCCACTCACACATTTCCGCTTCTTGTTAGAACTTGATCAGAAGTTACTGTTATGTATTATAAATAAATCTTTCCTTTAAATTACTATTGTACATGACATTATAGGCATTTACACGCAGTTTTCCTCGCTTATTAACATCGATAAACGAGTAACAGAATAGCGAATAGCATTAGACATTATGTTATTTAACTTTTCACATTTCTCGCTTTACATAATGAATATCGCTGTATAACGCGTTTGTTTACATTCCAAGTTTTGCTGATAATTTTCTCTTCTGACTTACTTCCGTTACTCAATAAAAGTCATCTCTAATCATAGAAGAGAAGCGTATAGCATCTTTCCGTTTTTGCTAACGCCTTTTAGAGGGGCGACGACACGAAAAATTTACATAGGATCTGCATGATATGACTTTCTCTTGCAAGTTATCTGAAAGAAACATCTTCACGTTACATCGTGCGTACGTCTCTTATGAACGTCCTGACATGATCATGTCTCAATGGGCCATCTTTTTAATCATACTGTGTTCCTCCTTCACTGTGATACCACAATTTGACACATTTAAAATATTTGAAAGAGGCATTTGCGATTTTCGCAAATAAAAAATTCATAATCTATTTGATTGCATTAAAAAAAATGATGAATAGAGGATTATTATTGACATTTACATTAAAATTAATAACAATTTTCTCCTTTATTTCTATTTTTTATTTTACGCAAAGTCCCTTTGCTTATTAAAATATCGAAATTATTTTAGTCTTGAAATTACTCTCGAGATTACGTTTCAAGTGTCGATACTTTCGATTTCCAAGATATCGATGCAGGAAGCACCAAACTATCGGGGGAAGAAAGTTTTAATTAATACAAGGGTTAATTAGTACTGGAAGAAGCAGTTCCCTATTTTTACGAAGGCGGACTTCTCAAAGAAGCCTCGTGGGAGGCTGTACGAGTCTCACAGTAGGGAACAATCATTTTATTATGTCGTTATCCTCTCTCGGCTCCCGGTTAATTGTTAGCAACTCACTTCAGTTTAGTTCAACGTTTCTCGATCTTTTTTGTTTCATTTCCGTGTTTTGCTTTCTATAAACGCTGATTGGAAGAAAGGTGTGCGAGTGGTTCAAAAATTTATACGTCTAAATTATTCTGGGGTATTTTAATTATATTCTTTATAAAGTATCACAATGTTCTTATAATGTTGAAAATTATTAGTCTAATAATAACCGCGCGGCGTATCTGTGTCATTGTACAAACTATTTTCTTCTCCTTTTTCTATTCACACGCGAATGTTCCTGAATCCTGACGATCCGGAAGTGACAAGATTGAGCAACAGCAGGAGCTAGGGAAGATAACGATCGGTCTGCCGTAAACGTGTTATGATTGTTTATTTGAATACCATGGTATTACTGCATTTTTTCTTGTAACGCGGTGATGCAATGTGACGCAATGCAAACACTTGTACTGTTACGTTCAAGCTGTATCTTACGTTGTCCTTTGAGGTTGATCTTTTTACGCTATAATTACATATTTATGGCAAACAATAATACGTAGTCTTCAATGTTATGTGATTACAATTCTGTTTAATTCATGAAGTACATTGTCTAAAATTTGTGTAATGAAACAAGCTTTTATTAGAGAAAAGAGCTATTATTTTCTTATTGAAATAAAATCACTATTGTATATACTAAACGTCACGATTACAACCAAGTCACGTCTTTATTGCGACCTATTAACTCATTCGATCGTATCATTTTCTCGGCAAAAATTTGCATGTATAGCGCAAAGTTCACTTGGCATAAAAATTTTAATTCCTCCGCAATCGCTCGGACCATGAATTACTTCCATAATTATTATTCTTATACGGTATTAGTGATAAAGTGTGCGAACCGTTATCGAGCCTATGTAATTGAAACTTATAATTACGAACGGACAGTGCGTGTATAAAATCTATTATAAATAACTCTATCAACAGATGACAATTTTATTCTCAGTTTTACATTGTATCTATTTTAATAGTGACAATGACCATATTTCACAGCGTTGTGCTCTCAAGATTAAATCATTAATGAGCAATTACAGATCCGCATTCATAGTGATTTACTTAATCGAGAATAAATAAAGTCTCGAAGAACTCCAACAGCTTTCGCATATTGCGACGTAAAACGATTAGAAAGGGTAAAAAAAACTCGCCTGCCTTCGCGATTTTGTTTCATTCACATCGTCCGGATGGTCCTTGAGTGCATAACCTTTGGATGAAGTCACTAAGCATCTCGTTCTGAGCAGACCATTTAAATGCCATGCGAGTAATCGCATCGCCTGTGATATACTCATTGATATACGATACCATCATTTCGCGAAGTAAATGCCTATATATTATAGAAGGTACAATTAATGCGCAATTAATGCAACGATTTTTATTATAGAAAAAAGATCGTTTTTGTAAGAAATCACAAATATGAGAAAGATAAATAAAAATTTGCAAAAACTTTTCACATGTATAAATGTATTTTCATATTGCTATTATTTCTATTATTTACATAACGTTTAGAAGACGTGCCGATAGTAAAAGTAACACCATTACTATCGGCGCGTATATTACTATCTATACAGCAGGGCTGGGTAATCATTTAAAATGCCAAATATAAAAAATGTATTTAAAATGTAAAATGTTTTTCGAATCCACTTTATATGTAAAATGGGTAAATAGATATTTTGAATAGTTTTCAAATACAGAATGGTTTTCCCTACAATAAATATATATGTATATATAAATAATTTATATATACATATATTAATAATTCTACATCTATATATAAGTAATACTGTTGCAAACTCTATGAAACGAATGCATGGTCCGGTATCGACGAATTTTTGAAATCTTTCATGAAGTCAAGTATCGTCTTCCGCATATCCCACTGAGCTGCTGTCAGATAAGTCTCGGCCCATTCCTTATTCATCGCGGTGACCTGCCGTATTCTGGCAATTAGTACCGCTTTTTCACTCGGACTGAAGCAAACGGGCTCCGTTTCGAAAACATGTTTGATTACTATTTTATCAGGTGTTATATTATTGGGTGCTGCCCATATGTGATATTGATCGTTTAAAATATGATATTCATTATCGGGACAAGCCATTAAGATGAAAGTTCTACAGAATGATAGTATGTTCGTACCTGAACTTAGTTTCTTGAACAATCCTGAGACACAGAAGGCTATGTATTTGTCATTATCGTACATGATGTCATAAGTGAAAGAACTCTTGTCGTGATAGGATCGGGGCAATTTGCTAAAAGCTGCTAGAATATCGTCTTGGCCGAAGAAAATACACATATTCTTTTTGGGGCCTTTTTTTAATAGATTTCTATTGAACGTATACTGATTAAGGCCCGTCTTTTGCGCGATGTTGTGGGATATGGCAAAAGTAAAGGAATAAACCGCTTCTTTGTGATAAAGTCCGCGTAAAACTGTTCTGTCGAGTTGATCGAATAAACCAAAAAAGTGAGAGACAAATGTATGCGCGAAATGCTGCGTCTTATCGTTTGGAAAATAGTCTTTGTAGATCAACGGCATGTTTTCCACAATGCTCACGCCGTCCAATTCTTTCAAATGCGGACAATACCTTTTTGCAGATTCTACGTACTGCTTTGCAGTCGAATAATTTTCACAAAGCGGATTTCCATCGAGCCAAAGCTTAATGATTTCTAGATTTTTGAGAGGGGCTAACATATTCATGTTTAACAGATTGTTGTGTCTGAGATCCAAATACTTGATAGATGTTAACTCTGAATTCTCTATCGCAGATATGTTAAACAATTCGTTTTGCTGTAAATTTAGATGTTCGAAAGTAGCTATCGCAGTCTTGGCTAGCTTCAAAACATGAGTGGAAGTTCTAAGTTGTGACAAAGGACAATAGATGGTTTTATTCACATCCGGCTCTGTATGGAAACTATCCAGATTTAATGTCTTGTCGTTCGGATTGTATCTTTTGGTCAATGCAGTCAACAGGAGGGGCTGTATGTGGATTTTCAAATCTTCGATTGTAGCAAATCCTAAGGTTACTATGAGAATGATAGCATCACCCTTAGCATTTTTGATGATCATGTTTGCCTTGCACAGCATTTCCAGGGCAGGACCACAATTTCTCGCCACAAAATACGCGTCGTCTCCACAAACTTGATACTTTACCGGTATCAAATCATTTGGTTCTACCGCCTTCAAAATACCTTTCAAAACTGTATCCTTGTCGAACTGGCCGCCTTTAAGAACTTTGATTTTGTGCCATAAATCCGGGCGATTCATCATTGTCCTTTCGTGAGGCATTTTTGCACCCATAGCTATTCTTATGGCAATCACAGTATCCAACAGAACGGGAATGACTGGTGTATTTAGCTTTACGTTTTCTTTTTTCGTCTGCATTGTGTACCTTAAGAATCTCTTCTCTAAAAAGCTCCAAGTTATTTCTTTATTTATTAATTTTTTTATTACTTTTTATTTAAATACTTTCTCTCTGTTTTACTGATTTCTGCAGTGTTTACATATCTTTGAGGTTAACTCGTATGTTTCTCTTGAGAGACCATTCAGAAGAAATGTATTTTCTCGCGTACACACGTTTTCTCTAAAATAAAAAATATTCAAATATTATAAGATCATAAATATACATTATTAATACAGAAGATACAATAAATAACTCACTGTGACTTTTACCTCTCTCGCCGATATTGTTCTTTTTCTCACTTCAAAATAATACGTGATAATATGTTTTCATCTGTTTACTCTGTAGATGTCACGATTTTCTCAATACCGACGTGTGAGACACTCGACGCGGTTAACTGTCCGTCGATATAATCGTCATCGTCATTATCTAATTCCGACATTATATCGAACCAGTATTGTAGGAGTTGTACGTGATTTGTGAAAGATGTCGCGTCAATATTCTTACAGTGGTAACAATCCCAAAAAATCCCGCAGAGATGGCTGATCCGCGCATTAATTTGCACAATTATATACATATAATTATGTACTTGTACATATGTATATTTTAGCGATAATGCCATAAACATTTAAACCAAAATAACATGGATAATAAAATTGAAAGCCAATTTTTGCTAAAAAAAAAAATTTATAAAAATTACCTGATATCTGCCTGTTACAAATTATATATCTAATTTTATCTCTTTATCAATTCAATTGCATTTATTCAAATAGAAATATTATTATATAACGAATATATATTCAAATTATTATAATAACCATCTTCTTATTGAATTAGGATAAACTGTGATAATTTTAACCTATTACAAATTGTATTAGCTCTAAAAAAAAAATTGTATTCAACTTTCTATCAATTAAGTCGCAACATTTTTTTTCATAAGAGTTTTAATTAAAATATTTAGATTTTTATCTGAATAATACATTTTTCTTTAACACACCTTGCGTTAAAATAATTCGCAGTGAATTTCTGTATGTATCACTTCTATTGAATCTATTCTGATTTAATTTTAAAATTATACTTTAAAAATTTTTTAATTTTTAAATTAAATTTTTTTTACTTTGCAACAGTACTATCCTAACATTTACTTAGAGTAAATAAATATTTATTCAATAAAAAAATAATTAAATCAAATTAATGATTCTCATACTAAATAAATACTCGTATATGTTTATATTTAGTCCATATTCAGCTAGTACTATTTAAACAAATATTTATTAAAATTTAGTACTTTTTTTCAGTGTATATATAAATATTTTGTCTGTTTTACAATATATATTATTTATATTTTGTATGTGTATTAGATATTTTATTCGTTTATTTTATATCTAAAGTATAAAATTGTACTTGTATAAAAGATATGTTTTAAGAAGTAAAAGGACTTTCACAAAAGCCGCAATAATAACTGCTTAACGGCGGCCGATCTTTGATCCCGCAGCAAAAGTTCGTGCGATTCATAAACTCGGCGCGTTCTTTAGCGCACTTCCTCGTTCTCTCGTTAATTACAACCATCTTACCGCAGAGAATCCCTTACAGAATCAACTGTATGTAATATTACACCATTTCTTTCAACGAACAGCATCAGCGACTGTTTTTGGAAGCTGTTGCACATGTACATTGATGTAACATGTTGAATCAATAACATGCTCATTTTCGCGTAGATTATCTGATTAATATTAAAAATTCTGCATCCATCGATAAATCAATATGATTAAATTATTAGAATTAAATGTAATTTTCGAGATACTCGGCTGTTTAATTAGCTCACCTCCAGTGTTGTTAATAAATCCTCGAACAATTTAGCCGCACGCGTTGCGAAAGATTGAGTTACTTCTTACTCGTAAAAAAGTTCGTACCAGGCGGTTTGCATCTTCTTCAGAGGCCGCGGCGCCTCATAATTCACTTAGGCTCAGCTCGCCTGTCTGCATGTTGGTCGAGACAGCGGCAATTACGCCCTGTCGGCAAAAAGTACGCGCACTCGAGCGTTTTTAACAAACGCCAACGTGTAGCGTGTCTCACCGTCGCCATTCGCCGTCGTCACATTGCAATTTCGCAATGGAGACGAGAAGTCCACACACCAGTCTTGAACGTAAGAGCTTCGGAATTTGAGAACAAGCGCAATCGTGATTCGAGCTTAATGAGCTCAAGAACAAAGGAAACTTAAAAAGGCCGCACATTCGAATTGCTCGCGCTCCATATTTGTTCGCGACGACAGCTCGGTCTCCATTGTTTCTCCTCCGGAACGCCGGAAATTAATGTACGGGGATGAGAAAAAGCGATCGCGGTACGATCGATCGATACTCGACGATGAATTCGCGCGGGCAGCCTCCTCTTCGCGAAGCGCAAGTGGCGCGTTCGCGAACGCGAGGGCATCTCCGCCTCGTTTTCATCCTCTCTCTCTCTCTCTCTCTCTCTCTCTCTCTCTCATCCCGTAATTCATTTAGACGGTAGCCAGACAAGAGGACAGGCTCAATTACACCCGCGGCAAAAAGCCGCACGGGCCCGCCGCCGCTTCCTCGTACGACGTGCGTGGTCCGCGCCCGGTCGGCGAGGAGAGGCGAACCGAAACGAGACGGGACGGGATGGGATGAAGCGCAAGTGTTATGTCGAGGACAACGGGGCGGATTTGTCGTCCGTGTCGTCGAGAACAGGCGGCACGGACCCCGTCGGCTCGTGTCCTCCGTCAGTCGAGCGCGGCACCGCGATCATTAGAAGGAAGGGTCCCCTTTGTCGTCCGCAATGTGCAAGCAACGCGAGCGATGCCGTTTAACGACGACATCCGATGCATGCTCGGATCGCGACGCTTGGATGTCCGGACGACGCGGCCGGAATGCTCGCCGACATTGATCGTCTTTAGCGTCGGTGAAAAACCGTCGATCGGAATCAAGTATCACGAACGTACAGGTATTGCAAATGCAAACAAGAACGCTTCGGCGGAACGCTTCAGTAACGAATCTTCGGGATCTTTGAATTTTTTTTTAGCGTAAAGCCGGAGACGTGATTGAAAAGCACAGGCGATAGAAACAGAGAATAACAGATTTCAACTTATCAGAAACGTATATATACCAGAATACAATTGAAATCTGTTATTCCTGTTCCTATTGCCTGTGCTTTTCAATTGTGTCTCAGGCTTTAGAGATGCAACACAGTTATTGGCGTTGTGAACGTCATGCGTGAGATCCTTTCAGAAAATATAACGCTCATTTAGTACGATATAACTCAAAAGCAAAATTTTCCAGAAAATAAATTTCAATATTTTGAATCGTTAAATTTCACAATATTAATTTGAAATTCAATTTTAGTGTAATAACTGGTTGTAGAGGAATAAAAATATATTTTTAAAAGTATATTCTTTCTTTTTTTTTGTTTCTTTATGTTTCCAGTTTTTTTGCGACCAATAATAACAATTTTTTAGTTATGTCATTGTCGCAAATGAGCGATATTTTGTCCAAAATGCGTTAAAAGCAAGTTGCGGTCTTAAGGAACGAATTAATTGTTCAAAATACGACGAATGATCGAAATTGTTATTATTGAAAGACAGATACATGGAATCTTAGTTAGAAAAGACACGATGATTAAAAAAACGCGTTTGGCAAAATGTAATGTAATAATTCAAAGTCGCAACGCTGAAGCGGCTGAAGTCAAGATCGCGGATGCATATTCCTCAATCGACGTACGATCTGCTCGCCGCGAAGCGAGTTCGCAAGAATTGCGCTTCTTGCGCGGCTTGTACAAAGAGGATGCAGTCGGCTGTTCCTGGAGGAGGTTTCTCGAGGTGGTTAATCGGCCGGTTAGCGGGGACGGGAAGGCTCGCTCGAAAACAATGGTCCTCGTGTTGATGGCAATATTTTAATGAAGTTAGCGAGTTCCTGGTATACGAACGGCATCCCTCGCTTCTCGTCGGTTCCAGGAGCGTATACGCTCCAGAGGTAGTGGGATTCTTGCGCGCGCGCGCACGCACGAAAGAAAGAGGAAGAGATTGAGAGAGGGTGCGAGAGAGTAACAGCAAGTCGACAGGCGCCACTCGGCCACTGATTTCCACTTACCGATATCGTTCTACAAAGCTGCCTTCATCTGCCAGCCTACGCGGCCGTTCTTTCGTTAATCCAATGTCCCGGCTCTTACGGACTTAAACTCGCGGAAAATGAGTTCAGTGTTATCAGGCATTACGAGCAAATCAAATGTTGTAAGATCCAACTCGATGTAGTAGCTCATGATACATCATTCGAGTAGTGATTTCGTAATTTCATATTAGTCATGTCTATAAAAATTAGTGAAAAGTAGCACGCGTGATAAAAATATTTCTTGCATTGATATATGGTTAATAATAATAGCAGCTAATATATAATACTTCGATATCAAAAAAGCATTGGTAACTCCTTTGAGTTGAATGATATTTTGTTATTGTTTACTTCTATGTGTGTAGATCAATCCATTTCTAGTTACATTGCAGTTACATTGCTTAGTTTCAAAGTAAACAATATTCATACTATGTATAAATATGAGCATTTAGTAAAATTTAATAGATTTCTTTAGTTAAATTATTTAATTCCATTATTTTAGTTAAATTAACATATTAAGTAGGAGCAGTGACGACCCAAAAATTATTAAAAATAACTCAAATTGAATATAATTTGACATTATGAATTTAACATCATACCATCTTTTACCGATTTGGTTCGATCCATCTTTTCGAAGATGTGTCATAAATCCGCTTGGAATTTATTATAATCGATATTTAAATATATTCACAATGAAAGAGAAGCGGATGGTAATTACTGTCAGGTATGCATCACTCGCAAAAGTATAGGATGAAATCACGTGTGTCAACAGATCGTTTTGCATGCATTGATCAGAAATATCAGAATAGGCAAGATTAATTTGATTGATGCTAGAATATGATTATCACCCTGCAAAAATAAAAGCGTTTTTTAAATGAGATAAATGTTTATGTGTTTTATAACAATTCGTACATTTTCTATAAGAATCCTGAATAAATAAAGGAACGAGGGAAAACTAAATAATTCATAAAATCCATTTCTAATGCAAATTTTTATTTAAAATAGGCGTTAAAAATTAAAAATCTAAATCTTTGTACATTTTTATAAGTCACGAATATTTGCGTGAAACTTGGAGAAAAAGGAGTCTCAAAATTTTCCGTTTTTAAATGAATCGATAAGTTCAAAAGATAACATTTTTTTCGTGGTCGCATATTGTCGCGCGTTATCGATCAAATGAGTATTATTGAGA